GCGCTTTTGGGCGCTTTTGAGCGAAGTAGGGCCACTGCCATAATCACCGTCAGACGGCCACTGTCAAAAATATGCTCGCTTTCAGATAAAATGATGTCACGGTAGATGTCAAGCAAAACCCAAAGTTACTGAGTGGAAAAAAGTTGTTTGAATGAAAAAGTGTAAGCTGAGGTTCTGCGACTTGCTATAGAGGCTTTAGAACACTATGGTTGTCATCTACTGCATCTTATCTTATAGCGAAGTTATTGTGGGTGTAGCCATTCGTGAGATGTGTTCTTCATCTGACCACTGCTTATTTTCACCGCTTTGAAAATATGCGGAAAGGAGGCCATGCAAAATCAGCTTGATCAAAAATAGAACTAAAAATATCACGATCCTAAGTACAAAGTCAATCAAAACAAAACAACAATGAAAAAGTGCGTATAGCCTCTATCAAACTTTTCGATGATTGGAGTCTGGAGGTTGTGCAGATAACAAAATTGACGACGTTTATAGTTTATTACGAGATGGTTATCCAGGTAAGCTAGCTTGCATTCGAGAGTAGCAGTTTATAGTGGTTATAATTTGCGCCCATTACTTCAAAAGTGATAGAAATCTGGTGCTCAATGTTGTGCTTAACCGATTTCAACTGTTCTGAATCAGGCAATTTAACAAGTCTTCTTTTGATGAGAGGTATGAGACGATGACATACCGCAAGTTCTGGGCTTGCAAGGCATGCTGTTTCTTCTAATCAACTATAATCATGCATCACTGATTTGCTATTGTTTCATGCTACAAGAACTTCGCTTCTCGAAAGTTAAAAAAAACCTAATCGCCGGAACTAAGCGCCTGTCCGCATATTTTCTCAAACTTCCGCAACGTATTGGGGGCGTGGGAAAATATTTTTTTGCGTCTTGCACGATGCATAGCATACATGAATGTCAGAGGTTGCAGACGGTCAGAATAAGCACAGTTGTCACTGATAATAATAGTGATGACGTAGACGCATCAGCAATTGCTGTTTGAGTGGGGTAAATATCGTGGCATCTCAGAGACTGGTTGTTTCTCAGTAGCATTCCTTAGCTGGTGGTTATGTGAGAAAGCTCGGAAAAACCAAGTATTGTGAAAAGTATTTTCTTTTTACGGAAGTCCGCTTCAGTACTTTGAGAAATATCACGACGTAAATGAGCAGTCGAAGGAATGACCATGCTATCAAGCGGGCTGTCTCGGACAACTCTAGCAAAATTCACAAGAATGAGAGGGTTTTCCAGTGAAGAGACGTAATATTTTTTTTCGCCCCCGCTTAGTGTAAACTGGCATCAGCTGCGGACCGCCGCCCTCTTCTCGGTGGTCTCGCATGTTCTTTGAAAATGAGCCGGTACTCTGAAGGGACTGAAAGAGGTTTTTTGAGGCTACAAATAAAGACGCAGTATAAATACAGATTAAGGAAGGTGTGGGCCTAATTTCTATTGTCTTGCAAGATATCGAGATGTGTTCTGCTTTCGCAAGGATTCAATATGAAATAGGAAATTTCTCTCTCTATGATACTTTCAATTATTTTCGATTTTCTTCAAGCACTTAGAAAAGACCAGCAAAAACTGTTCCTTTCTAGTTTGATTATAATTTTGGAGATTTGATGTTTTTGTAATTTTATATACGCTTCGGTACATATCCGATCCTAGTAAGTGTCTGCACAGCAGGCTTTATGTTTGGATGGGGTTTTCTTCGTGTGCATATGGTCGATAGCCGTATGCATGTTTGGAAACTGGAAGTTGTTGGGACCCAGTAAAATGTAGTAAGTTCCTGAAGTTCCATTACTGACCGATGGTCCACCAGTGAACGGAAGGAAGTTAGTCAGGTTCTCTACTTTTACCTCACTCATTTCTCGTGATGTTCCATCGCAACCATGTGACCGAGTTTTTTTTTACAACTTCGCGCATTCTTTCGCTTGTGTATCTGCTCTTGCGATTGGTCGCACATTATCCGTAGCAGATAAGAAATATGTTTGAGATCAGCTTTCCAAGGAGAGTACAATGATACAGCTTACTGGGATTGGTCGCACCAAGTTCTGACCATCTTGAAAGTGTAAACTGTCTACTAGGAACAATCTAGTCTCATGTCTAAGCAAGTCAGTTATTCTTACGCATCAGTTCGTTCTTCTCATAAGGAAAGACGAAGTCTCGAGTTCTGTGGGTGTTATCTGAGCCTTTGACTCGAGGTGCGAACATTCATACTTTCAACGGCGCTGTTCCACATTAGTTGACCCGGAGAATGAAAATGCTGAATTTTGCTAAAACTTCGTCTAGGGGGGTTATTTGGCACGCTGAACACGAATGCAATGTTCATT